CATTATCCAGCATCTTAAGTCTTAGTAGACAGACGTGTGTATATCTGGTGGAAGGGGACTGGTTTCTTGATCCGTGCTTCCCCCTGCCACCTCTACCACCTTTCCTGAGGTTTGGAATCACCCACACTTCAGGTTCCACTCCATTGCTCATTTAAAGGCTTTGTGGAGCGCCTGGGTGGCTCAGTCAGTGAAGTGTCTGCCTTCGATTCAGGTCATGGTCTTGGGGTCCTAGGATGGAGCCCTGCATCAGGCTCCCTGCTCAGCAGTGAGTCTGCTTCTCCCTCTCCCTTTGCCCCACCTCCCAACTTGTGCTCTCTGTCTCTGAAAGGAATAAATAAAATCTTAAATAAAAAAAATTAAGGCTTTATATATTTTTCCATAATCACACATCCTAAGTCCATTTCTTAGTAAGTTACTCTGGTAGAGCCTTCTTCCCCATCCCTTCCCCATTTCTGGTTCTCATGCAGTCAGAATGCTTAGGCTTTGCTCATTCCCCAGTGTCTACTGTTATGTGTGGTGACTATGTTTATAGGACAAGATGCATGTTACATCTCTTAATTTGCCTGACTCTTAAAGTTTCATATTCTTGTGCTGTGGTCTATGGATATATTTACTCCTTTTTCTTTTTTCTGTTTGACAGACAGAGATCACAAGTAGGCAGAGAGGCAGGCAGAGAGCAGGGGAAGCTTTCGGCTCCCTGCTGAGCAGAGAGCCTAATGCGGGGCTTGATCCCAGGACCCTGAGACCACGACCTTAGCCGGAGCGGAAGGCAGAGGCTTAGCCCTCTGAGCTACCCAGGTGCCCCTCCTTTTTCTTTTTTTTTTAAAGACTTTATTTTTAAGTAATCTCTACATCCAAAGTGGAGCTCGGACTTACAATCCTGAGATCTAGACTCGCATGCTTTACTGACTGAGCCAGCCAGGCTCTCCTGGACATATTTCTTCCAGTTATTTCTGGCAGTCCATGGTCACTGGAGTCAAGTGTTTCTATTCTTTTCAGCCAGGGCCTTCCAGATTGGTAGCAGCAGATATCATAAACTTATTGTGTATTAGCTGAAGGCTTCTGGACACAGGTTACTCTCCACTTTCCAATGACACCAAAGAAAGAAAAAGCAAAAACTAGTGACATCAGCTGACATTTTCTATGCCATCCTGATGGTGGGAATATAAACTAGTGAACAGTATAAACAAGCCAGGACTTGAAAACAATTAGAGGGTTAATCTCTTAGGTGTCATAAGGAAATTAATGGGGAAAGTAAAGAAATAGAGAAGTGTAATAAAAAAATGGGGCCAGGAAAATTAAAAATGGTTTCTTTAATGGAACCATCCCTCCCAAGAGCTAGTATTTTATTTGGCATTCCAGAAATTTTCAGGGTATTTGTCCAGTGTGTATTTTCATGCATGTTTTCTAGTGCCTTATTTTTTCTGGTTTAATGACATTTTGGGGGGGGGTCTACTTTTAGTGACTTATTTCCATTTTTGGTGTTGTTTTTAGATTTTAAATAAGACTACTGTCTTTATGTCTAGTCTGTAGATGTCTCACTGATAAGAAAATGTCCTTCTCCTCATTGCTGCCTTACCTCTATGGGTACTCAGAGAGGCAACAATCCATAAGACAGCTCTTGGAGGGGTTTTCTGGAAACACAGGAGGCTGACCAGGGGTAGATGGTATATACATACTTGAAAAGAGTAAAGAAGTATGGCTTGCTGATTATAGATGGTGAATAGAGAAGGTTACAAATGTATTCAGTTAAAGAAACGTCTCCATGAATTGTTTTTTAATTTTTGTCAAGGAGCAAAAAAGTAAATTGAGGGGTTTCCGATTCAGTAGGCCTAGGGTGGGGCCCAAATATTTGCATTTCTAACAGGGGAAGCTGGTGCTGCCAGTGGAGAGGCTGAACTTTGGGAACCACAGCTTGATGTCAAGGTCATGTCAAGGGCTGGCAGAGAAAGCACCAGTTCTCACACACAGCTCTGTGTATCAGAGATACCTTCTACTTTGGTGTTTGCTTTTTATCACCTTGGGTGATAAAGAAGAAAGCAGAGAACAAAGTTGAAAGCATATACTTAGGTGACTAGGGAATGGCAAGTCAAGGAATTGGAAGTTTTCATTTTTATTCACATGGTGGGGTGATTTCCTTTCCTTTCACAGGTAGAGCAACAGCTCTCATTCCTCGCTGTCTTTCACAATCACCCGGAATGCCCCTGGAGATTCTGATTCGGTAGGTCCTGGGCAGGGTCCATGAGCCTGCATGTTTATTCAGCATCCTGGGTAATTTTGAAGCAGATTTGCTAAGGATTTGCACTTTAAGTAATGCTGATTTTAGAAGAATAAAATAGATGTCCAAGCACAGCCTTAATCCTACATGTAGGAGCAATCAACGACGTTATCAGGCAGATTCTTTTTAGAGTCGGACATAGAAGGCCGGGTGCTAGAGCAGAGAGCAGGGGGACTTTTTTTTTTTTTCTTTTCTTTTTCCAGGGGGACTTATTTTTAAAAGAAGATGCAGGGAAAGAAGCAGATCAGAGACTGACAGTGAAGGCAGCAGGAAGTGAAGACCAAATGAGCTGATCAGTTAAGAGGGGATGTGTTTTTTACTTGTGTGCTCAAGACCAAATACAGTAAGGAACAAACTGGGATGAGGGACTCCTTTTTAGTTTTTTAGGGTTTTGTTTTTTTTTTTAATTTATTTTAGAGAGAGAGTGCATGAGCAAGGGTAAGGGGGAGGAGGAACAGAGGGGGGCAGAGAGGGGACAAGCAGCCTCTGCACTTGAGTGAGGCGCCTTAAGGGGCTCAATCACACAACCCTGAGAACATGACCTGAGCTGAAATCAACTCGGAAGTTCAATGGAATGAGCCACCCAGGTGCCCCTACCTTTTCCTTCTGACCAGAGAGCTAGCAGAGAAGTATTCGTCTTTCAAAAGCCAATCGTGAGAAGACAGAGTAGGAGTGGACGGCAGGAGACCAAGTGGCACTCTGAGGAGTTAGAGCGAGAGTGGAGCTGGAGGACACTGGGTGTTGAGGACATGTCATCAACAAGGACGATTCCTGTGGCCTCATGGCTGTGAAATAAAATATGTAAGAGTAGCCAGTGCAGACCTCGGGAAAAAACTATTTTGTTCTGTTCAACCATAATTTAAAAAGAGTGAAAATGTACTCTGTATCTACTCTGTATATGTGAGTTTATGTGAGAATGTGTGTGTGTGTGTGAGAGAGAGAGAGAGAGAGACAGAGACAGAGATTGAGAGCAGACAGGAAAAGAGAAGACACTGGGCCAGGGACAACTTATTTGAATGGCCATCAGCATATATGAGTATTCAGTTTTCTGATCAGGCATCAGGAGTGTCTAGGACCTCATCTCTCCTAACATGTTCACTTGCAGTAATAACAGAAGTTTAAAAAAATAAAAAAGCTGTTGAAAGTTCTGCCTTTAGAAGGAAAAAGGAGGGCACCTGGGTGGCTCAGTCTGCTAAGCATCTGCCTTCAGCTGAGGTCATGATCTCAGGGTCCTGGGATCGAGTCCTCCATTGGGCTCCCTGCTTGGCGGGGAGTCTGCTTGTTCCTCTACTGCTCTCCCCAGCTTGTGTGCTCTCTCTCAAATAAATAATTAAAATCTTTTTTTTTTTTTTAAAGAAGGAAAAAGGAAAAAAAATAATACTCATGTTTCAAGAAAATGTTCTCTCTTGGGAGCAGTGTAGCATAATCCTATTTTTAGTTCTGCCTTGTGCATATATCCATGAATACACAAGATTTGATTTTTACAAGTTCTTTGTCATGCCGTTTACTTCCCCCCAAATTCCATGCTCATTTGATTTCAAATCTCTACTTTAACTGCTTCTTCCCTTGCAAGGTCCTTCTTTTTCCTTCCCTGCTTGAACTTTATCTTTATAACCTAGCTCAAGCCTCACCCTTTCTATAAGATTTTCCTCTGAATATTATAGGGGTTTCTTCTCTCTCTGGATTTAAATTACAGGTAAGGATTACCTTCTATACATCATCCTATCCTTTTGAGCTCAAGCAAGAAGGGTTTGCATTCAGGAACTTTCCAATAAATAATTGCACAATGAATGAGGAAAGAAATAGAGCTTGAATCCTCCACTGACAGAAACTTCTGGTTTCCTCCCCAGCATCTGCTCTATTCCACCTGCTCCCATCACATAATGGCCAATGGTTGGGTAATGTGGACTCCTGTCTTAGATCCAGGAATGGGCTTTGATTGCCTAAATCAATCGGTATAATTCTGGCTAAAGCGATTGGTTCAGGCACAGACCCATGATCCCACCTGGTCCAATCAGAATGAAGCTCAGGACACATCTGAGTCTGTGGTGGGGAGAAATTCTCTGTATGGATCTTTTAGTAGGCAGATGTGATGACTGGAACTGTGGGGATCCCTCTGCTCATGTGGGGGAAAGCAGTGAGAGGGTAAGGCCACCACCCAGGAGAAGGCAGGGTATCATTTGGCGTGTGGGTCAAAAGCTTGAGACCACGCTAAAGTCACTGCCATCTCTGGACGTTTCAGCCATTTTAGCCAGTATGTTCCTTTATAGTTTAAGTCAAGGAAGGAGATTTTTCTGTTACTCATATGCCTCCCTATTGTTGGTTGAGTTCCCCCTATTTTTAAATCTTTGAGACATAATATGTAATTTGTCGTCTTGCAGCCAAATTCATTTAGGGAAAGAGCAGCCGTCTTGGATGGCATTTACCCCTAGGAAGATCGTTACGTATTTTTGCTCTCTGTGCCGATTGTAACCGAAGTCATGTTCGCAAGTGGTAAAAGACTACATCTGAGAACAGTTTCTACCACAGTTTCTGTTCAAGATGATCCGTGTTCTTAGGCACACAGTACTGGTATAGACTTCTTTGATTAATTTGTATCAGATGCTTCCTGCACATTGACATCCATCCCAACTGTGTGTACAGCAGGGTGCTTACAGGCCTTTGGAAAAGATAAGCCTTTGTGTAACATCAGTGTTTATGGTAGTATGCTAAAGGCAGATACCTTTTCGGTGAAACTGAAGAGACCCCAGCAGACATATGGATTTGAGCATCTCTGTTGTGTACATTTCTAAGCAGCACTGCAGCTGGATATAAAGCCGACAGATTTCTGGATGGATCTCACCATCTTCCGGGCTGCAACAGAATGAAGGAGAAAAGCCGTGAGCATTTCTTAAGATTTCACTCCTCAGCCATTTGTCTCAGCTCTGAGAGGGGAAAATGCTCCATAAAGATTCCTTTAAGCCTTGACTCTAAAATATAGGACGACTTCCTGCTTTCATAGCAATGACCAATGTCACAGTTCTTACATAAGCGTCTTTCTGACTAACAGCTCTTAATTTTTTTTCCCCTTAGCAGCAGATTTCTGCTGGGAGCTTAAAATCATAAATGTTTTAAGTAATTGGAAGTATCATTTTCCATTTAAGCGCTGAAACAAATTTCCAAAATATTTTTAAGTCATAAGACTCTCCTAGCTACAAAAAGAGATTAAAAACTTTTATTTTTAGAGAAACTAACGAAGAGCTATTCAATTATCAACCATGAGAGCTTTTTAATATTAAGACCCTAGAACAATATGATTAGAGAGCCAAGATATCAGTTATTTTGAGCAAGGTCTTTTGTCTCAGTCTGAAGAATATTCCTTTATTGTTTGCTATAGTTAATTTATAAAAGGCCAACTGATTTTAATGAAAACATAAAAATTTCATGAAAAAGAAAAGTTATACAATTCTAATAATTATGCTTAACAATCTAAAGCTAATTAATTACTGAACTTATGCTCTAAAATTTATTCTCAAGTCCATGAGCCTTTCTCTATTGATTCTGGTAAAATGTACAAATGGGGGGCACCTGGGTGGTTCAGTCAGTTAAGCATCTACCTTTGGCTCAGGTCACGATCTGGGGGTCCTGGGATTGAGCCTCATGTTGGGCTCCCTGCTCAGTGGGGAGTCTGCTTCTCCCTTTCCCTCTGCCTCCGCCTCCTGCCCCCCCCACTCATGCTCTTTCTGTTTCTCTCAAATAAATAAATAAATAAATAAATAAATAAAATCTTTTACAAAAATGGATAAATGGGAATATGATAAAACATGGAGTGATCACTTTTATTTTTATTAAGGGAATAATTAGTTGTCATTGAAATCTTTTTATGCCATTAAAATAGCATGTACTGAATAAAGCAAACTAAATAAAAGGGATAAAATTTAGAGATACATTAGAAATGGAAGTAGCCTAGAAGTGAGCTCTGTCACATGTCCTAATGTGTTACCTTTATTTCTATCCCTGTTCATTTAGAATGCAATGAAATCTGATTAAATAATGCAGCATTTGGATTTGATTCCTTTATAAAGTGGTTGCTGGCACAATGTGAGGGACAATTATCAGAAAAGAATGATGACTTGATTTTTATTTAAGCTCTGGACTCACAGTAAAAAGAATTTGCATTTATGAAGCACTTTACAATGATAATCAATTTTCATTTTCCATAGTTATTTAGTAGATGAACTAGAGTTTATCTAACTATCTGGCTTATGTAACAGAAAAATGCAACATTTTTTTGTCTCGGTACTATCGATGCCTGCAAAGTTATTCTGTCTTTCCTGTGTCACAACAAAGTGCCTCAAAAGAGCTTACATGCAAAATTTGGCTTTCTCTGGAAAATAAACAACGTTAGTTTCTTATTTGTGTCTGATGGGTCCAGCCCTAGGCTAACGTTGCAAACAAGTGTCTCTTTTGCAAAAGTTCCAGATTTTCTTTCAGAGCTTCCTCCCACAGGTGCCTTTCACCCTCCAGCTGTCTTCCCGCTCCCCAGGGTTCTTCCTCCCCCCTCACCACCACCGCACACACACAGTGTCTCGCTCCTTCCTATCACCTTCAGCCTTTCAAATGTCTCTATGTTCCATCCCTTCGGGTTCTGCCAGACTCTGGAGGAAAAGTGGGCATTAATGGTTTGTTTAATAAAAAGTGATATTCATGTATTACCTGCTAATACATTGATTTGATAGGAAATTTGATAGGAAAATCTGAAGATAAGTGTCTCATCCCTAAGGCAGGCTAGCGGAAAAATATATTAAGGCAGTCAGGTTTTTCCTGAGTGTCATCCCAGAATCTTTTCACCTGTGTATAACATTGGCCCTGGTGGCACATAGACACGTTAAAAATAAAAAAAAAGAAGAAGAAGAAACCTATGATAAATCTGTGGTATATATTGCACAATTAGTCACTGCAATATCATTTCAAGCCATGGAGTATTTTTATTTTCAGAAGTACAAAATATGTGCCTAGTGGTTAGTTCCCCAAATAGGCAAACTCACGTATAGGTGACATTTTATGTAATTGAAACAAATGATTACCATATTAACATATCATAAGAACCTGTATGTTTTATTATCTTACAGCTACACAGTGAGCGATAAAGCTGTGCATTTAGTGCTCCTGAAAAAGGCAAGTCAGGACAGAGATTAAAATGCCTAGTTCATCACAATCCCTCAGGTGCCATCTCCCTACTGCCTCTGTAACCAGGGGAATCCTCAAAACTGTGGAAGCATCTTGCTCTTCTAGATGTTACGGGAAGGAACCTAATAGGTACCACCAGAAATATAATCTGCCCAACAAAAATTAATCGATACTAAGGTTGCATTATAAATTTTCCAGTTCAAAAATTCTTACGTATCCTTGCACATGCAAGGATAATTCGAAATTATCAATTTATTCAAAAGGATAATGCAAAAATTCTTACGTATCCTTGCACAGTAGCCTTTAATATCTTGGAGAACTGAAGTACGAAGAAAAGTTAAAGAGCAGTGGAAAAGTTAACCTATCATTCGTGTTGGTGTTCCATGAGATGCCTTCACCAGGTTCCGTCGGCTTCAAGATGTGTACAGTTTATTTCTCCCACTTCTGAGCTGCATTACTGCTACTGCTCACTAAAAGCTCACTAAAAGACAATGCCAGATGACTTACATCTAATGTTATGAGCAGTGGACTGAAATACGTTTTTGATGAGCATTAAGATCATGTAGGTTATTTTCATGACAAATAAGCAATAAAGTTAGAGCAGGCAGAATGCAGCAAAAGCCAAGAAAACAGTGGTGTAAAAAGCCTGAAAACTTTCTAAGCATCAATTAGAAGGCCTGAGGAAGAATTTGCATTAAGAAACAATTAGGCCTATGACTTCCTCCAGCAACTGGAAGCAATTTAACTGGGAGAAAACTTTACCACCTATTACTTAAGCTTCATCTAAATGGACTCACTCTTATTAATAACACGTTTAGGTCTAAGAGAGTGACCGCTGTGGTGGTGCCCATGTAATTCAGTCAAAGCCATTTTATAGGTTAGTGACTAGGTTGTGCTTATTTCCTTATTTTTCTAATGCGTGTAAGTCAAGACCTAACCTGATCATTTTGATGAATTTGAAAGTCTTAGTGTTAATGAAAAACATCCTAAAGATTAATGATATTCAGTGAACTGGAGCTCAGGTTGAAGCCAAAATTATTTAAATAACTGCCAAATAATGAACCTTTCAGTCCTAAAGGAGGAGAATCAAGATTTAATTTTTTTTTTTTTTTTAATTTGAGAGAGAGTGAGAAAGAACATGAGAGAGGAAAGGATCAGAGGGAGAAGCAGACTCCCTGCTGAGCAGGGAGCATGATGTGGGACTCGATACCAGTACTCCCGGGATCACGACCTGAGCCGAAGGCAGATGCTTCACTGACTGAGCCACCCAAGCACCTGAGATTTAATGTCTTAATCACAGGGCTTAAGAAGCCTGAACTGGTATATAGTACTAGTGGGCTATAAATATAAATATTGCCCAAGATGCCCCTTGATAATGCAAGTGTAGGTATACTTGGTGGATATTCTTGTTGGGTAATTCAAAAAGTATTATGATAAACACCCACTAGAACGGCTAAAATTAAAAAGACTGAAAACACCAAATGTTGCTGATGATGTGAGCAACAGAGACTCTCATACATTCGTGATGCGAGTTAAAACAGTCCAACTGCCTTGAAAAGGGTTTGGGAGTTTCCTATGACGTTAAACATACCTCCTTTTGACCTGGAAATTCCATTTCTAGGTATTTAACAAGAGCAATGAAAACATAGTCACAGAAAGATCTCTATAAGACTGTTCTTAGTAGTCTTTGTTAGAATACCTAAAAACTGCAAAGAGCCCATCTAGAGGAGAGTGGATATAAAGAACCTAGTATATTCTTACAGTAGAGTAATGCTCAACACTTAAAAGGAGTAAAGTGATACACAAAACAACATGAATGACTCTCAAACACAGGATCTTGAGAGAGAAAATCCTTAACACCAAAGAGTAAATACTGTATGACCCCATTTATATGTCGTTCTGGAAGAGATAAAACTGATTGTCAGTGATAAAGATTAGGATAGTGGTGCAGAGGGAATTTGGGAAGGGGCATGAGGAGAAAGAACTTTTCTGGGGTGGGGGTTACGATTCCCTGTCTAGATAGAGGTTTGAGTTACATGGGTATATACATTTGGCAAAACTTACTGGATGGTACACTTAATATTTGTATATTTGATTATATGCAAATTTTACTTAAAAAAATAAGAACCATCAGCGAATACTGAATTCTAATGAATGATATTCAAGCCAAACTACTTAGGAGTATACGTTACTGATATCTGCAACTTCAGGAAAATAATATGGGTTGTGGGGTAGCTAGAGGAATGGACAGACAGGGCGATAACCCGTTAAAGGAAGTGTAAGAGAATGTTAATTGTAGAATCTAGGTGGTGGGTATTTACTTGCCATCCAAGGATTTATAGTTCCCCAAATAATTACATGGCATAAATTAAACAAATCAATAAAAAAAAAGAAACTTTATGACTAGTAAGGTCAAGTTCCGGCGTGGACACACTAGGGATTTTGGTTAGGAAATGCTTCCGCCCCGCATCTGTCTGTTCTTTGGTCAAGGTTGCCAGATTTTGGCGTTCTATGTTGCTGCTACCGGCTTTTTAAAAAACAGCAAAATTTTTGTTGTTTTGAAAGTCTGTGCCCAAAGTCATGATTTGTATATTCATTCGAAGGCAGCAAGACATAAAAACAGGGGAGTGGGTCTGGTCAGAAAACTCAGCTCTAGGAGCGCCTGGGTGGCTCAGTGGGTTAAG